GAGTCAAAATACCTCGCGCGAGCATGCCAACCGACAGGTGTTATTCATGCTAGACAATATACGTCCAGCTGATCACAACTTGCTCCATCTGACAGCCAGTCTGTCTGCGTCTGCGTCTAATCTGTTAGTCCTCCTCGTCCTGATCTACCCGGCAGGTTCCTAAGGTCTCAATCTGGGTACACGTACACTAACCCGGGTGGGCGGTTGGCGCGTGCTCATTTGGGGTGTGCTCTTTATGTTCTATCAAACATGGTCGCTATTAAGCACAAGGGGGCTATCCCGGAAAATGTTGTTTTGAGAAAATCGAAGGTAAAGTTTGTGGACCTTTGTTTAATTTCTTTTAATACACAAAGAGAGAGATTTTCTCTATAACAAAACAAATATACACATCAATGAAACCAAACTTTTCCTATAGGTAGGGCAATGCCCAAGTTTGGTGTATGTCAAGGTTTCTGGAAACCCCCGAAATCTGGGTTAGCCCGCTTGTACTTAAAAGCGACCACATAATCTGCTGTCCTTTTTATCGCCCATCTTCCTTTTCTTGGTATGCGTATCTACTCTCTTTTCTTTTTTTAGTTGTAACACCCAAAATGTTCACCTTTTGTAATAACCTATTTGTGTTGCAAGAGACGTAAAAGATTAGTTCATTAAAGTTAGAAAACATCTCAATCAAACGCGATTTTTAAAATAAGTTTCTATAGTATAAGTCTTTGGTTAAGTCAAAGATAAAACAATACTATAGGTATTTTAAGAGCGTCCGAGCTTGGAGATGTGTGGCTATCCGAGATATCTGTGTCAGATCTAGCACTTAAATGAGAACCAATGAGATTGATAGCACCCGTCCCATCAGGCAAATGCAACTTTTTTGGGACTTTGTATTCAACTTACGATTTTTTTTACGTGTGATGAAACTTCTGTGTGTGTTCAGATGGGATGGTTATAGTTTGTATGTCCCGCCGAGTTTTGGGGTCCTTTTCGCATAGTAATACAATCGTTGCGGAATTCCTACAGTTGAGCAAAAATAGAGCAAATGATGTGCTATTTAATCAAGTTGATTTTTCTCACTACTACTTATTATTATTATGTGTGTGTGGGTGTTATTGTTCATATGTGTGTTTGTTTGTGCGTGTGTTAGTTAGTTTGTTTGTGTCATTGTATTTGTGTGACTGTATATGCGTGTTAATGTGAATGTGAGTGTTAGTATGGGTATGGGTATAGAGGAGTGTATGTGTGTGTGTATTATGTGCGTACGATGTTCGTTGTTGCTCTTTGCCATTGAAAGGTTAATCTTACCTTTTATTTCTCTATTGTGTTGGTTTTTATATTCTCCAAAGAGAGACAAAAATACATGTATTATCCATTAGGGCCGAGTCGGCGGTCTCGTGGTACAACTCTCGGATTCGCTAAAATGCATACTAAGTTTGGAACTCTGTGCCACCACTTTCCAAAGAGGAAGATTACTCGTTAATCCGATCCGTACACTTTGTATAGCATGCAGATGTCGAAATGATTTTTTGAGAAATACTGAAAGTTTCAAAGAGATCTTCGAACTAGAAGTATTCTAAAATGTGAAGAATACAACCCCGGGGTACCAAATGACCCCAGTACGTACGGATCCAAAAAAAGATTTAAAGAAAAAAGACACATACAGCAGGAAAACAAGTTAAAGTTAAAAAAAAGGATAAGGCTTTTAAAAAAGGGTACTTTGAACCCACATGCCTTATAGCTTTTCTTGCCTACCTTTTTATAATAGAGACAAAAAACATTGTGGGTGATTGGTGGGTGCTCTGGTGTGGTTTGCTCCTTCTTTATTATAAAAAATGTATCGTCTCTATCTCCCCTCCTTCTTTTTTTAGGTTTGTTACTCTCTTGTAACACCTCTAATCTTCAGCACTTATGTGACCTGATTGTGTTTTGATAGTGCCGTAAAACTCTTACTAAGACAAAAAGAAACAAAAAAGCATTAACTTCAGAACAAACCGGTGTGCGCAGAAATAAAGAAGGGGACGACAGTTAGACATAACAAAAGGAAGTTGGCGTATCGTGAATAGAGGGGGTTGTAAAAACATCTTTAAGAGACATGACGGTCCTTTCATCTTTGGAACTTTCTGTATCACTTTGTGACTTCAAACCGTCCTAATCATGTCCGAGGCCATTACGCTATCGCAAATCAACGGTGCGAGAAAGGGGAAAGGAGAGAGCTAGAGAGAGAGAGAGACAGAGACAGAGACAGAGACAGAGACAGAGAGAGGGGGGAGAGAGATGGAGAGAGAGGGAGAGAGAGAGAGAGAGAGAGAGAGAGAGAGAGAGAGAGAGAGAGAGAGAGAGAAATAGAGAAAGAGAGAGAAAGAGAAACAGGTTAAGATCGGGAGGAAGAGAGGGACACAGAGAGACAAGGGGATAGAAAAAGCGACAGAGAATGAGACGGAGACGCGAGCGTCTGTGTGTGCGTGTGTGTGTGTGTGTGTGTGTGTGTGTGTGTGTGTGTGTGTGTGTGTGTGTGTGTGTGTGTGTGTGTGTGTGTGTGTGTGTGTGTGTAGGTGTGTGACAGAGAGAGAGAGAGAGAGAAAGAAAGAGAGAGAGAGAGAGTGAGAAAGAGAGAGAGTGAAAGAGAGAGACACAGAGAGAGTCAGAGGCAGAGACAAAGACAGAGACAGAAAGAGAGTGAGTGTGAGAGAGAAATAATGAGAGAGAGAGAGAGAGAGAGACAGAGAGAGACAGAGACAGAGACAGACAGACAGACAGACACACAGACAGACAGACAGACAGACAGACAGACAGACACACACACAGACAGACACACAGACACACAGACAGACAGACACACGGAGAGACAGAAAGACAGAGAGAGAGAGAGAGAGAGAGAGAGAGAGAGAGAGAGAGAGAGGGGGGGGGGGAGAGAGAGAGAGAGACCAATGAAATCCGTCGTTGTTGAATAGCCAATCAAAATGATTCTTACGTCTGCAGCAAGCGT